TCTTCACTAGTTAAGGGTAGTTTTGGCATTATATTTTTTTAATTAGTTAATTTTTGACTTTTTAAATGGTCAATTAACTAAAGGAGGTATAAGGGTAAAGTTAACTAAACCTGATGGGAGGTTTAAACTTTTTTTTTTCACTAGTTTAATCTGTGGGCAATAAAGGCAAATTTGAGGGGATGTCAAAGCATTTAACCCGAAGAATAAGTGTCTTAATTTCTTGGACTTCCATGTCCCGATTGAATATTTTCTATAAATAGTGTTTGTTAACTCACTTAAAAAACAATTGAAAATCAAGAGAATTATTATTAGCTAATACCAACTTGTTAATTTGGTGTTATTTAATAAAATTGAAAATTATTGGGGCTGAATTTTAAGTATTGCAAATTCAGATTTTACATATATATATATATATATATATATATATATAACTATTTTCATTTCATAAAAGGTCTCTTTTTGGAAAAATAATTTTTTATGAGTGTAATTTTTAATATTTTTTATTATAATAAAAGAAAATGAATTTTCAAATATACCATTCTATGAAATTACATGCCTTATTACTTCCAAGACAAAAAATAAATTAATATTAAAAATCTTCAATAAATACTAGTTCATTTTTTTATTTAGGATAATTATTTTGCACAACCACTCGGTCCAGTGCAAGTAAAATAGTTGGGGGAATGTTATTTTGATTTGGGCCCTATTGGCGTGGCTTCCGGATGTAAAAAGTTCTTTCAGTATAATGGATAACGGGGGATTCTAAGAATAACTTTGTAGAAAAGAATTTAAAAATAAAAAGGCATTTGGGTAACCTCATTTTGTGAAGTCCTTCCATTTACAAATGTGATTTTAGATACATATTACCTGTTTTGAGACAAAATGATCAAATTAAGTCATGCTATTTCGAGTTTACACTAATATTTTTACATAATATATCTACCTTATGTTTGACACAATTATTAAATCATATTAGTACCAGATTTGTCATCTCAAATATATGGGCACTTTTTTAATTCAGGATGACATGTGAATCTATGCTATATGAACTCTTCAAAAGCATATGAAGTATCCGTGTCAAGGGCCGGACACTTTTGAATTTTCAATCCTCTAAAATAGTTCTGATTTACGAATTTTCTAATAATTTTTTTTTTTTTTTTTTCCCTCTTTTATACACGGAATGATAGAATGGCGAAATTTAGAAAAATTTTAGGAAGATATCTCTCCATCAAAACTATATATTATCGTATCATTCATATCTTTTGTTAGATGGACTGCCTTTTTCATGGTCACTATTAGATTAATCACTGTCTTTTTCTATTAATTTTGTTGTCAATCTTATCAAGGCTCCTGACAAGTTTGTTTGTGTAGCTCTTTTTTATCTCTCTGAAAATTGTCAAGGAACTTTGTCATTTGGCCCATCTCTTGGTGGTCCCTGTTTGATTGGTGACGAAGTGTTGCCATTCAGGATTCTGACAGATCCAATGAACTTCAATAATTTTGCTATCCTTATCATCTGTGGAATCTTTTCCAACAGTGATGATAATTTTGCCATTCAGCATGTGAAGTATCCTTGACAGATTCAATGAACTTCAATATCATCACTGTTAGGCTCTTTGTAACAGTGATGATATTTCATTTTGTCACTTGCGTTGATTGATCTCTAATATTATATCATTAACCGAAAAAATTATATACTGGGTTAGTCACCTTGGCAGCATCCTGTATCCAAGTGCAATCCTGTGTTCAGTACAGAATTACATTCCAATATTCCTCCATCTATATCAGACAAGACGAGTGTAACACAAACAAATGTGAGAAGTGAGAGAGTTTTTTTTGAAAGTCTTTAGTTCATATTATCTAATTCACAATCCAATAATGCTTTAAGCTAAGACTACTTGGTCTATATTTACACACACTCACTCTAAATATGTTTTATTCTCGAAAACAAGAAACATGCAACAAACATGACAATGTCACGGATTACACTAGCAAGAACATGGAGTTGCAACAGCAAGGAGAGGTATTCTTCTGCGGAATGTTACACCAGGGCATTCAGTCATGTCCAGATGTTCTGCCCTGGCTCCACCAGGCAATGCCCAATTGAACTTGTGCACGAGATTTGCTAACACAAACTCATTGGTGGCCATTGCAAAGGAGATTCCTGGGCAGCCTCTCCTGCCAGCTCCAAATGGAATCAATTCAAAGTCATGCCCTCTGAAATCTATAGAAGAATTCAAGAACCTTTCAGGATGAAACACTTCAGGTTCAACCCATGTCATGGGGTCTGTTCCGATTGCCCAAGCATTGATAATAACCATTGTTCCGGCTGGAATGTCATAGCCCATTACTCTGACATCTTCGCTCGCTTCACGTCCGTGTACCGTGAGAGGAGGATGCAAACGAAGAGTTTCTTTTATCACTGCTTTAAGGTAGTACATTTCCTCCAGATCATCAGCTGTTATGTCTGGTTTGCCTTTAAGAATCTCTCTCACTTCATTTTGCGCTTTATTCATGACTCCTGGGTGTCTTAATAGCTCTGTCATTGCCCATTCTAGGACTGCAGAGGTGGTATCAGTTCCAGCAGAAAAGATGTTCTACAAGAATTAGAAGATAAAACAACTTCAGATGGTTAGTAAAGTTCAATATATGTGAGTATCCTTGATGTGAATATCCCTGCGACTAGCCATCATGCACACACACACACAGGGGGGAGAAAGCGGCAGAGAGAGCATGACAAAAAGTTAAATAGTTTCAGCTGCATTCTGTTTTCATTGGAAAGTTGAGACTTGGTCAATGCTCTTTGCATTAAAAATTGTTCTCACCGGATTGGATCAGATTCACGAGGCTAGTTGAATATATCTGGTGAGGCTAGTAATTGGGAAATATCTAGTAAGAGTACTTTGACTGGATTACCATAAGTTTGGAAAGCAGCTCTTCACTTGAAGCCTCTTCCCTTTCTGCTAGTAATTCAACAGGATATACTACAGCTTTGTTGTTTTCTGATGCTGATGCTTCATTTTTATTTTTCCTTGTTTAGATGATGTGGTGTCTGTATTGTTGTGACTCCTTAGGAGTGGGTGTTGTGTTGTATTTTGCTGGTTCTTTAATAAAATTATACATTGCGACACAGAGAGAGAGAGAGAGAGAGAGATCCTCACCAAGATGAGAGCTTTGATGCAATCTCTATCAACAGCACTATTGTCTTTATGGATCCTAAGCAAAATATCTAGGAAATCCTCGCTGTCTTCGTCTTCAACTCTCTCATCGCCATTACTCTTCCTTTTCAGGACATTCATACGCTCTTCAACTACTTGCTCCAGGAATTCATTAATCTCTTTTGCAACTCTGTCCACTTTGGCATAAAGACCAGTGACATGATTGATCCATCCAAGCCATGGAATGAAGTCCCCAACATCAAAGCTGCCTAACAACCCCAAGAACTCCTTCAATTGCCGCATAAACTTCTTCCCATCTCCCCATCCACTGTACTTCCTCCCAAAAGCAGCCCTGCATACCACATCATTCGTTAGCAGCGTGAACATTTCACTTAAATTCAATGGCGAGGATGAAGAATATGATTCTTCCATCTTCTTCATCAGGAGGGCTGTTTCTTCTTCTCTGACAAAGTGAAAAGATTGAACTCTTCTATTACTTAGAAGCTGGAGCACAAAAATGCTTTTCATCTGCCTCCAGAATTCACCATAAGGTGCCATGGATACATCCTTGTAATCGTAGAGAAGCCGTTTAGCTATGATAGATTTCCGCCTGTTTGAGAAGACAATATCATGTGTTTTCATGATCTCTCGAGCAGCGTCAGCGGACGAAGCGACCAGTGTCGGCGTGCTGCCGAAGTGAAGCAGCATGAGAGGGCCATATCTTTGAGCTAAAGATCGGAGTGGATGGTGAGGGAGCGAGCCCAGTTGGTGGAAGTTCCCTATAATTGGGAGCTTTGGTGGTGAAGGTGGTAGGTGTTTGTTGATAGTAGAAGTATTGAGGAGCCATTTCTTGATGAGGAACGCTATGAATAATAAAGGAAGCCCAGAGAAGAAATATGGGTGCAGAAGAAATGAAGTCAATAGCTGCTCCATCAGATTCAGAAAACTAGACAGATTTGTTTTTGTGTGTTCACCAACGCTTATTTAGCTCTGACCTCCCGTATCAGCATGCCCGTTAAATTTCAGTCAAATAAAAATTTTAACAGATTTGTTTTTGTGTGTTCACCAACGCTTATTTAGCTCTGACCTCCCGTATCAGCATGCCCGTTAAATTTCAGTCAAATAAAAATTTTAAATGCCCAAACTACCCCTACCAGCATCACTTTAAAAGGTTTTTAATCTCTCTTTTTCTGTAACTGACCAAGACCACATACAGCTTTACCAGATACAAAGTTATTAACCTTCAATCACTAGAAACACTACCAATTCATGTATAATATATATAGTTTATCTCCATTTTTCAACTGGAATCATAGCTTCATGAATGCATAAAATAAAATTAAAACTAACATGTTAGTGATTTAGCGGTATTCGATTCTTACTTCTTAAAGAGAGGTTAGGGTTCGAGTCTCCATGAAGGCATGTGTCTGTGAGTACCAAATAGAAAAAAAAATAAAATAAAATAATTAAAAAAATTACAGAGCCAATCATGTAATGTTACCGATTTTCCCTATTTTCTATTTTCTGGAATTTAATTGATTTTCTAGATTATTTTAATCCTTTCCTCGTTTGGCGTGCCACGCGGGCCCCAAAGGGCGTTTTGGTCATTTTGAGCCGAGGGTTTTAAATGTGTGTTTTATTTGTCATTCTAAGTCAATTAGAAATGACGGTTTCATTTTTAGAATTTTTCTGAAGTCGGGACGATTTCCGGACTCGGGAACTTCTCCCGGTTTTCTTATCCTAAGAGAGGGGCATCATCGGCATTTCACATATGTTTGTGTATTTATATTCATGTATGTATATTGTATTAGTGGAATTAAGTGGAGGGTGATATTTTGTAATGTTGTGATATATATGTATATATATATAATTAAGGTTAAAAGAAAAAGAAATAAAACAAGTGGGCCCCACCACTATTAAAAACATCAAAAAGGCCATAAGGCCATTACAGATGCTCTCTCTCGGCAGTTTCCAAGTTCTCTCTCTGGACCATTTGTTTTATTTTTTGCCTTCACCATTCAAACCTTGATCTTGCTTTTTTCCTTTGGGAATTTGGTAGAACATTGTGAAGCAAAATTGTTGAGCTCGTCGAGGCCGTCAATTTGATAGGAACCAATCATCATTTGGTGCACTCCAAGGAGTTCAAAATTCTAGGGTTCTTGGGCTTGGATTTGGGGATTTTAGGAGTTTTTACTTCCATTAAGGTAGGGGTGTTCTAATCTAAATTTCTTGGCCTCTGGTGAATTTTTCCCCTTAAATTTGATTCTAAGCATGCTAAATTTTAATTACTTAGCTTGTTATTGTTGTAGTTCTTTGTAATTATAATGATAATTGTGCTCCTTGTGTTATTTGAATTCATATAAATAAGCATGCTTAGTGTTTAATGTGTTGTATGTTTCCATGATTATTTATTTATTTATTGTCTTAAAGAAAAATGGATGCTATGGTTATAAATAAATAAAGGAAAGGAATGTTTAGAAATTTTCATTAAATTGTGATGATAATGTAAATGGAAATGTGTGAAAGTATATAGTTAAATTAATGATTTGAAGCATGAAGTATTCATGCATCCATTGGGAAAGAGAAAGGGGGAAAAATAATTGTTAGAACAAATAAAAATTGTTTTGGGGAAAATATTTTCTAAAAGTGTTGTGAAAACCGGACGCCTAGGAGGCGCCTAGTGGTTCGTGATGTTGATGTAGTCTAGAAGGGAATGTAGTTGAGTTAACTAGGCCGGGTGCGACGCCTTGGAGGTGCCTTGTGGTCGTGGATAGTTAACCAACCTTCTTTTCGTGACGCCATGGAGGTGCCTTGGGTCGGACTACACTAACGGTTTGGTTGTTGAAACAGAATTGTTTCGGAAATGGGGAGTGACATTTGCATAACATTGCACTTCATGACATCGTGGTAAATTTGTGATTGGTTGATATTTGTTATATACTTGTTATTGTGGTTGAGAATGGGTGTTTTCCGATGGCATGATCCCGTTCACTTTTTATCTATTCATTGTATGGATTCACGGGGACATAAAAAGTGTGTCTTAGACACTTCCTACTGAGCTTATACTCACCCCCTTATTTTTAACATTTTTTTTCAGGATATGGAAAAGAGGTGGCGGACGACGGTCCACCACAGGTTTAGATTAGCTTGAAGACCCATTCTATTTTGTTATCTTTTGTATTAGACTCTAATATTTTGTAAATGTAATATTAACTACCTTGTGACACTTTAGTTTAATTAGTATAATGTTGTAAGTTATGGACTTTTAATTCTAGCTACATTTTATGGACTATAATTTGATGTAACTTAAGTGGGTTCCATGTTTGGATGAGATGGAGGAACGGGACTTTTATATGTATGTAACTATTTTGGGAATGTAGTATAATATTTGAATTGTGCGTTGGGACAGGATAAGTTAGATTTAAGGCCCAATGAGGCCATTGCATTTCTTTTTTGTATTTCTACAGGTTGTTGAGGGACATTTTCTGCGAAAGTCATGCCGAAATTTTTATAGATTTTTATTATTATTTTAGTATCTTTTCGAGTCGTTACAAATTTGGTATCAGAGCCATGGTTCGAATACCATTAGGATGGCGGGTAGAGGCCTACCTAGGATTGCATGGGGAGTTGAGTTATTTGCTTACTTGTTTAATTGCTTACGTGATTGCATGCTTATATGTTTATGTGTTAAGGTGTTTAATTATTTGAAAGGCATGCTTAATTGTTTAAATGCTTATATCATTACGTGTTAAGTGGTTAATGTTGTTGTATATTATTATGATTATGTTTATCCTTAGTTGGGTATTTTGGAAGTATGGAAAGTGTTTATGTGTTTCCATTCTTGTCAAATCATTCGTGTGAGGACTCCGTTCTCGTGCGTATTTTAGTGTCATCGTAATTGATCCGTTTCCTTTTCTTATAGCTTCTTGGCAACACGAAGGGATCCCGGGGAAAGTTCTAGCTCCAATCCCGTGGAAAGGGATCAGGAGCAAGTTGAGGAAGATATCTTATTGCGTGATTTGGTCCCACCAAGAGAGGGACAAGCGAGGGGGACTATTGATCCACCTTTTCAGATGAATAGGGAACAAATTAGGTTAGCCATTCAAGAGGCTATTTTTGATGCATATCGACCGACAGGTGCGTCATCGTCACAGTTTGTGCCACCACCGGCTCCACCACCACCACCTCCGAAGACAAATGAGCTAGATGATACTCTTTCTCACATTGCCAGGTTCGTGAAGTTGATGCCAACCTTGTTTGAGGGTGGTCCAGATCCGCTTGTTGCGGACAGTTTCCTGGATAAGGTGGAGAAGCATATTAATGCCATGAATTTGGCAACGGACAAGTTGAAGATCACATTGGCGACTTACAATTTTGTAGGCGATGCTGAGATTTGGTGGAAGACCGTTTCTCACACCCATAATCTGGATACTATGACATATGCTACATTCAAGAAGTTGTATTATGAGAAGTACTTTCCAGTGCCTAAGCGGAGGGAACTAAAGAAGGAGTTTGATGGGTTAAAGCAAGGAAGTATGACAGTTACAGAGTATGAAAACAAGTTTACATCACTTTTGAGGTTTGCACCGGGAATTGCTAATGATGAAGAAGAAAAGATAGAGAAATTTGTTGATGGCCTTGATCTTACCATTAGGCCAATTGTAGCTGCTTCAGAACCGACAGAGTATGCAAAAGCAGTGCGAAAGGCTTTAGTGGTTGAGGCTGAGAGTAAGGACAACAAGGTTATCAGGGAGTCCTACAAGCACAACAGGGGTATGAGTACTTTCTCCGAAGGTCAATCAAGTAAGAAGCAGAAGCATGAGCAGTCAGGGTTCAGGGGACAGCAGCCAGTTAGATCTGCACCCACAGCTTCAGTGTCCATGGGGTCTTCTAGACCGAATGTTACTTGTTTCAGATGCGGGCAGTTGGGACATTACAAGTCCCAATGCACTCAGACACAGGTAGCTCGGATGATTTGTTTCAAGTGTGGGCAGCCAGGGCATCACAAGTCCCAGTGTACTCAGATTTAGGTGGCGTCTGGTGGATGTTTCGGGTGTGGCCAGCCGGGCCATAGGTGAAAGATTGTCCATAGCGGGGCAGTGGTTTGGGCAGAGGTGGAGGTTCACAGCAGAGGCAGATGCAGTCTACCACAGTTCAGTCAGGGTTTCAACCACCACCACCACCTCAGCCGTCTCAGCCAGCTATGTCAACCCAGAGTTCTCGACTTGGTAGGGGAGCTTCCTCGAGTGCACCTACTCAGCAGTCTGGCTATCAGGCAGGCAGTTCCCAGGGGCAGAGGACCCAGGGTCGCGTGTTTGCACTCACTCCAGCCGAGTCACCATCCAGTTCTTCAGTTGTTAGGGGTATGTTTCTTGTGTCCCATTCTTGGGCTCGTGTATTGTTTGATTTTGGTGTTTCTTATTCATTCATTGCTTCATCATTTGCACGGGCATTGGGTTTAGAGGTCAGTCAGTTAGACAGACCGCTTTGTGTTGACATGCCTATCGGGGGTTTAGTTGCTCTTAGTAGAGTTTGTAGGAGTTATTCCATCACAATTGCCGAACGTGTTCTTGAGTTCGATCTCATCCTTCTCGAGATGACGGGATTTGATGTCATTCTTGGGATGGACTGGTTGTCATCCTTCAGAGCTGTCATTGATTGTTTCAGGGGCAGAGTTTCAGTGTGTACCCCGGATGGGGATTGTTTCTGTTTTGTGGGAGATTGGTGTGATCCTCTCACTCATTCATTTTATGGTGTTAGGGGTCGAGATCGGCAGACATTATTCTTGGCTAGTCTTTTCGCCGATGATGACGTTGAGTTTTATGGGGTTGATTATCCAGCAGTTGTGCATGATTTTCTAGATGTGTTTCCGGAGGACTTGACTGAGTTGCCTCCACACCGAGAGGTGGAATTTGCTATTGATTTGATGCCTGGTACCGCATCAATCTCTATGGCACTGATTGAATTAGAAGAATTGAAGAAATAACTTGATGATTTGAGGATGAAAGGCTTTATCCGACCAAGTGTGTCACCGTGGGGTGCACCGGTCTTGTTCGCTAAGAAGAAAGATGGTTCTTTGAGGTTGTGCATTGATTACCGAAAGTTGAATCATGCCACCATCAAGAACAAGTATCCTTTACCAAGGATAGATGATTTATTTGATCAGTTGAGGGGAGCCAATTGTTTTTCGAAGATTGACTTGAGGTCAGGCTATTATCAATTACGGGTTAGAGAGGAGGATATTCCAAAGACCGCGTTTCGTACGCGGTATGGACATTACGAGTTTCTTGTTATACCTTTTGGTTTAACCAATGCGCCGACGGCATTCATGGATTTAATGAACCATGTCTTCCACGATTACTTGGATCAGTTTGTGGTAGTTTTTGTGAATGATATTCTTGTGTATTCACGGACTCGGGAAGAGCACGAGGTCCATTTGGGTATAGTGTTGCAGATTCTACGGGAGCACCGTTTGTATGCCAAGTATGAAAAGTGTGAGTTTTGGCTACAAGAGGTGAAATTTTTGGGACATGTTGTCTCGGAAGGTGGGGTTTCAGTTGATCCTTCAAAAATAGAAGCAGTTTTGAGTTGGGAGCAACCCAAGAATGTCTTTGAGATCCGGAGTTTCCTTGGCCTAGCGGGTTATTATCGGAGATTTGTGAAGGATTTTTCCCGTTTGGCAGCTCCTATGACCAGATTGACCAGGAAAGGGATCAAGTTTGCATGGAATGAGGCCTGTGAGTCATCCTTTCTAGAGTTGAAAACAAGGTTGACTACGGCTCCGGTGTTGGTGATACCTGAGCGTGGCTTAGGTTATGTGATCTATTGTAACGCCTCACGTGATGGTTTGAGTTGTGTACTGATGCAAGATGATAGAGTAGTGGCTTATGGGTCTCGACAGTTGAAGACTCACGAGCTTAACTACCCTACTCATGACTTAGAGTTAGCGGCAGTTATATTTGCTTTGAAGTGTTGGAGACACTATTTGTATGGTGAGAGATTTGAGGTGTTCTCGGACCACAAGAGTCTCAAGTACCTTTTCTCCTAAAAGGACTTGAACAACAGACAGAGGCGATGGGTTGAATTCTTAGAAGACTATAACTTTGAATTGCAGTATCATCCTGGCAAGGCAAATGTGGTAGCTGATGCTTTAAGCCAGAAATCTCATGGGACTTTGGCTAGTTTAGCCATTCGGAAATGGAAAATGCTGGAAAATTTGGCTGAAATGGGATTATATTGTTTTGATGATGATGATGATGGCAGTGAGTCAGTATTCTTGTTTAGTCTCGTGGCTCAACCCACTCTTGTTAAATGGGTGATTGAGTCACAGAGACAGGATTCAGCTTTGGATGCCATTTACACTTTGATCTCTAGTGGCGAGATCGTCAAGTATTGGACCTTACATGCAGATGGAGGTCTACGGTTTAGGGGTTTGTTGGTTGTTCCGACAGTTTGTCGTGAGGACATCTTACGGGAGTTTCATACTTCCCGCTTTGCAGTTCATCCGGGTGGTACCAAAATGTATCACAATTTGAGACGTCAGTATTAGTGGAATGGAATGAAGAATGATGTTGCACAGTTTGTAGCTAAGCGCCTTACCTGTCAGCAGGTGAAGGCCGAGCACCAGAGACCAGCTGGTTTATTGCAGCCGTTGCCGGTAGCGCAGTGGAAATGGGAGGAGATTGCAATGGATTTTGTGACAGGTCTTCCTAGGTCATGGAGGGGAAATGAAGCCGTATGGGCCATTATCGATAGATTGACCAAGACGGCTCACTTCTTGCCTATTAAGGCAACAGATGACGCAGAGACACTCGGTGTACTTTATGTGAAAGAGATTGTGAGATTGCACGGAGTTTCAGTGGCTATTGTGTCGGATAGGGATGCTAAGTTCACCTCGAAGTTCTGGGAAGGACTTCAAGCAGCGTTTGGCTCAGCGTTGCACCTTAGTACTGCATTTCATCCACAGACGGACGGCCAGTCGGAGCGTACCATCCAGATCTTGGAGGATATGCTTCGAGCCTGTGTACTTGACTTGGGTGGTAGTTGGGAGGATCACCTTCCACTTATTGAGTTTGCCTATAACAATAGTTATCAGGCGAGTATTCAGATGGCTCCATTTGAGGCATTGTATGGTAGACCTTGTAGGTCTCCTGTCTGTTGGACTGAGGTGGGCGAGACAACCGCCTTAGGACCCGACATTGTACTCGAGACTACCGAGAAGATTAAGCTGATCAGACAAAGATTGCTTACAGCTCAGAGCCGACAAAAGAATTATGCAGATAGGCGGAGACGACCGCTATCCTTTGAGGTGGGAGACCATGCTTTTCTTCGGGTTTCTCCAAGGAAGGGGTTGATGAGGTTCGGGAAGAGTGGCAAGTTGTCGCTACGATTTATTGGAC